TGGGAAAATTTTTTTCTAAAGTACCCCGATCCAAAAGTTATTGCGTACCACATAATCAACCATGGAGAAGACGAATCTGCAATCGGTTTCGACCGAACAAGCTTTTGAAATTTTTCGATTCGGTGATATGTTGATTAAGTTTCATCGATTTTCATGATAATCATTTTCGCGATTATGATGCACATTGAAAACAAAATTAGAGCCGTTAGATCATCGAAGAAAGGTCGTACTCCTCCAACAGTTCTGGAAGCTAGTAAAAGTAAGAGCTCTCTCTCTCTCTCTCTCTCTCTCTCCAGCGCTCTTTAACTTATTCCAGACCGCCGAACACTTAGATGAGGCATTTTCATGATGTCTAACGTGCCCGATTGTAAGAAGATGTACTTGCTCAGACGGTTTTGGGAAGAACACTTAAGGAATGAAACAGTCTCCTCAACTCAGTCGTCCTATATTTTAGGAAAGTTTCGTGTTGACATATTCTATGGTTTTTGATATTTGTGCGCTGAATACATTTTAACCCATAACGCATAGAACTTAATGCGAGTACACTTTGTAAATTGGTTTATAAATAAACGCTCTTAAAAAAGCATATGTACTGTTGATTTATTAATGTCTATATCAGAATACTGGTTTGTTTTATAACATCTTCTCTTTATAAATAATTTGCAAAGCGTAGTGACGTTACGTTCTATGGGTTATGGGTTAAAATACATTGCAAGTAAATATATATATACACCTCACTTTCCAGTTGCGGAATCACGTGAAACTAAGTTCTTTTAGGTTTCGGAGGCTTTTACAAAAACAAGTACCACTACAAGACTCAGCATGGCTTATTACCTACAATTCAGCCCTTTTTGAGGTTACCAACAGATGACACACCCGACGTATTTGAGAAATCTGATTGGAAATTCTGGTGTATATGAAGCTGCATGGAAGCATTCCGTACACACGTTTTTATTAAAAGAAAACTACGCGAATTGTGTTTTGTGATGTGAGTACATGGAAGTTTTGATACATGCCTGGGTTATGTTCCCTAAGTGATTTTTCTGAACATTTTGCATTTACATATGGTGAATAACATGTCATTCAGATTATTGACGAATTTAAGCGTAACTCTATGCTTGGATGAAGCTTTTTCAACGATATCCATCTCCACGTAGAACAGTAATTTATTCCCAGAAAATGTTGAAAACTACAAGCTAAAGAGTTGAGTTTGAACGTACTCAGCTGAACTTCTCGTGTGATTTAAGACATGTGTGCGCTGTTACGATCTGTATTTAGCTCTTGATTTCGTCATATTGAAGGACTTCTAGATTAAAAGGATCACTATCCGTAGGACCTGAAGCTATGTTTTAATGAGTAAAATGAATTTGAAAAGAATTTCAAAGACGAGTTTTTCAGGGAATCTGTGGAGAACCAGCACGGTTCTCTGGAAATTGGTATAGAAAGCTATCAATTTTTTTTCATAGATATATAGTGTTCTCTACAAAATTGGATCTAAGCGACATCTTAGAAACCCATGGTGCGGGAGCTATGGACGTTTTTATGTGAAGCCCTAGCACTCCTCTGCCGTTACGTTTTTGGCGCTGTCAGAAATAAATGTAAACATAAGTTATCGATTATGCTGAACGTGGTAGGAATGTTTGTTTTCAGAAGAAAACACAACAACCCAGTGGAAACCTATACTAGGTGAAATAACCCATTTTCGACTATTTTCATCAAAAATTAAAAAATTTATGACTCAGTCAAGTTCTATCCAACCTACTTCAGAATGTCAGGAAATACTCTACTTTATCTGCAACATACCGTAAACCTCAGCAAATATTAAAAAAATCAACAGGAAAAGGTTTCCCAAAAACCTTCCGAACTAAGAGAATATTTTTTATTGCTTTTACTTACAGAATCAGAATGAACGGGACAAAACAGAGTATTTCTAGTTTTCAAGGAACCGAGCTGGTTCTCCACAGATCTGCTGAAAAACTCGTCTTTGAAATTCTTTTCAAATTCATTTTACTTATTAAAACATAGCTTCAGGTCTTGGCTAGCGAATGATGAAAATCGCAAGTCTGTATCTCTTATTCCTTTTGAGTTATTCAAAAAAGTAGCCACCGACCTTGCTTTTTTAGAACGACTATTAGATCCGATATGGTCTGAACACCTTACTTGGATTCTCGTGCGTGTAATTAACAAGGCTTTAGCGGAGATGGAGACACACTGACTTGATAAGATGCTCTTCGTAATAAACGAACAGTTTGACAAACTTTAGCGAGTTAGAGAGACAGTATGATAAGTGAGTGATCCTGATGAACCGATAGACATTAATAAAAACGAATTAACACCACATTATAACAGCCATCGCTAATTCTTGGCACATTTCTGTGCCACAATTCTAATACCACCGACATGTCCACCCTGAAAGAGTTCAACTATTTTCTCATAAAAAAATTTCAATCGTTCATATATTTCTTTACCATGCACCTGCAGTTGATGGTCCATTGTCGCTTCAAATTGTTCCAACCTTTGTTTAGTAACTAATGTCCAATCATCCGTCAATGATTCAGTCTCAACTACTGAAAATCCATTTTCGTTCAGTTGTTGAGCATATTCTTCTGCCGTCGGAATATATCTGCAATAGACATCATGTTTCAGTATTTGCTTTTCTTCTTGGGTTAGATTGCCCAGTCGAATAAAATCTTCACAATAGAAATATCCATTTGTCTTTAATAGATCATAACACTGCTTGAACAGTTTATTACGTTCGGTCCGTGTGAAATGCAGAATAGTTATCCAACTGACGATTGCATTATGGTTATTTCCTTGCAAATGATTGGCCACTGTTAGAAAATTTCCACACATGTGGTGAACGGAATCATTCAACAAACATCGTTCAGTTAACTCACAGGCCGTTGCATGTAGCTCGTGTTGTAATTCAATAGCTAATACCGTCAAATTATACTGACCAGCCAAATAACGAGAACAGCCACCAACTGAACTACCAATTTGAATGACTCGATTATTGCTTGCAGAATTTAGCTGACATTTATTGACAGCCAAATCTAAAACTTCTGTGCCGTGATAATGATTTTGATCAAATTGTAATAACTGTTTATAATTAATTGTTCCTTTTGCTAATCCGTCGAATCTCAAATTATTATACAGTACAGTTAATAATTCTGGTTTGTTGTATAATCTCATCGACTTAATGTCTATCGTTAAATTTGTTAATCGAATATCGATGAATGCCGCAGGATCAACTTGATAGTTGTTGTCCACGATACTTGCTGCTTTTAAGGCATCGATTGTAGTTTCAATGCATGATTCATCAATTTGATTGCGACCAACAATTTCGACCTGACCATGCCACGCTAGCGCATCCTCCGTAGTCAAATGAAATTTATTAGTAATCGTTTGAACAATAGTATTGTCCACATTTTTTTTGAATATTTCGCAAGCGCTCTCCAATGCCTTGAACATAGCTTTGAATGATTGTAGATGATTGTTGATGGTTGTTGTTGTAGACGCAATCATAAAACATGGCCACGGCGTTGTTATTTCACCAATTCTTCGAATTTCACCTTTATCAAAATACGGTTTTTGCATGAATGTTTCCCACATAAAAGCCGCTGTTGAACCATCATTTACAGATGCACGTAATGTTTCAAAGTTATTATTTACCTTATAATTTATATCAGATTGTTTCCATCCTCGTTGACTGGCTAATACACAACACATCAAATGTGAACCGGAATTAAACCGACTTATTCCCATTGTCTGACCTTTCAAATCTTCAATATGATGGAATTCACTTTGAGCACCGGTGCTTATCGCCCAACATAGTGGCGACTCAACATAAGTACCTAACAATCTCAACGAAGAACCATTCACGATGTCAGCTAATAAGCCTTCCGTTAATGCGACAACAGCATCTACTTCATTCTCTTTTAGTTTGTTAATCAACGCACCCGTTCCCTCTTTAATTGACACCCATTCTAGTCTAATTCCTTCGTTCTCAAACAGCTTTTGTTCTATACCGATGTGCCATGGTTCATTAAAATGTTCTGGAACACCACCTATGCGTAATGTTGTTAATGGCGAGGATAATCCGGTTTGCTTTTCAGGTTCTGCAGTCATGCGTGCAACTATAAGGTAAATAAATTCTCATATTCTACATGATTTGCTAAGTTGTCAATTGCAAATAGCTACAGAACAGGAGGTCAATATATGGATCAGTTCACGCAGATCGAAAGCAACAACGATTTCTCAAACAGTGCCTGTACCCTTATCTGCTTGTAAAAACAAACTGTCAGGGGAATCACGTTGAGTAGTAAAGAGGTGGAGTAACTACGTATTTCGGCATTCGATAGCCAAGAACTAAACGCGTATGAACAGAAACAATCAAGTTTAAATCACGACTTGCAGTTAGAGATATTTTTACCTAACTTTTCTCCAAAAAATACAGCGACATCACGGAGAGATGGTGCCACAATAGACAGAGAAAACTGAAAACTGGTAGACGGTGTTGCTCCTTCCTATGGCACGTAATGCAAAACTCGATTTGGGGCGTCACCGAATAAATAATCCTCCTTTACTACGTTATATGTATGTCACTTTCAATAAAAAACGATGCCGGCCGAAGTGAAAATAAATATGACTCAAATATTTTTGGAATAGTACCTGCTAGTCAGTGGATTGACTAGCACAGCATATGGTTTTCTTAACTAGCAGATGGAGGCGATTAGTACATTTGAGGTGTCGCGCGACGAGCTGTGATTCCGGGTAATTATATATTTTAACGACACTTTTATTTTTCTTCTTTATTCTCTTAAAAAGAACCATTTTGAGATGCTTTCTTGAAAGACGACGCGTAGAGTCTCTTTGGATGCTGTTATAGCGACCAAATTCGCAAAAATTATGAAAACAGGCCATTGTTCGTGCATGTCTCCGTAGTCTCCATAGGAAAACCAGTTTGCGTGAAAATACTTTGAATCGCGAAGTCATGATTGATTAGAATAAACTTCTCCTATTATAAAACGCTTATTATAAGAATAACAGCTCTCCACACCTATTTTTAGAAAACAACTAATGACTATTGCCTAGCTAAGAAACCTTTTAAGGAAGCGATTTTATTTCACTCACTTCACTAACTATGTAGAGCATATCAGGCATGAGCGAGTCCTAGTCCGAACTGGAAGATTTTCTGGCGAACTCGGACTCGAACTTGAGCTTTTGTATTTCGAGTCCGATCTATTCAACTTTGAACACAAATGAACAGAGAAAAACGAAAGGCGAAATAACGACACCTTCTGTTTCACAAGAAATTGAAAATTTTGTTTGGGAGTCGGACATGCAAAATAACCTTATATTTTCAAAAAATCAAATATCTATCCGGGGTTTAGTAAATTAAAAAAGAGAAATAAACCACCCTCGTCAAAAAAGAATGTAAAAGATTACAGGACTCGCAATGGACTGGGACTCGAACTCGTTCTTAATATTAGGGATCCGAACTCGGCTTGAAGTTTTAAGGACTCGGTACCCGTCGGACTCGCCCATGCCTGGAGCATATAGAATAATAAGCTACCTAATACGGTGCCACTTTACTGTTCTTTACCAAGTGACGAGTAGTGAAAGTTATTACTTATTATCAGGAAACAAGTAATAATTATTATAATTATTACGTATTACTATTTTCAAGTGATAACCTTTTGTTACTTTACTTATTAATAATAAGAAGAAAAGTAATAAAAAGTAATAAGTAATAAAACAATAAGATTTATTATCTTTTTACCGGCATAACTAACCAGCGCTTATTGCTTTTACCGGATAACGTAATAATTACTAAAAGTAAAATAGCATCCCTACTACTTAATAAAAAACAGAATAATTTGCAGTTTGTCCACGGTACACTACCCTACGCAGAGAAGAAAAGGCGGCTCCGAGAGCTTTCCGGAGCCCATGAAATACTTTTCGAAGCTTGAGATGTTCTCCGATGCTAATAAAGAAAAACGTCGCCTGATCATACGCCAACTTTTATTGAAAATGACATACATACAGCATATCACGACAAGTAAAAGAGAATGTGTAATGAATAGGTTTGTCTGAGCTTGGATATTACGCAGACATGTCATAATCTCTCTTGAGAAAGAAGGTTGCCCCTAGAGAACGTACTTGATGCAAGTACTTGATTACTTGCTAAGTACTTGTCAATGATGGAAATACTTACCATATCGCTAAGAAGTACTTTCTGAAAGTACTTGGCAATGAAGGACAAGTACTTACAATTAAAGTTACTTCTGAAAAAAAGCCAAGTACCGGCTTCATTACGCAGACAAAGTACTTGATCCAAGTACGTTCTCTAGGGTATTATCTGCTCATCGTGTCAATCGAGTCTGTACAGTACAACGGAATCTTCTTGCTTTGCTCATTTTCGCATTTAAATGAAATCGTTAACTTTCAATACGTTATATATAACGCGCTCCAAATTCAAACATCAAGCACTATTTTATTCTTGGCTTAATTATACATCATTCGATAGAGAATTTCACACTGATCACAAATATCTAGGTTTTAGCTTTTCCAGTGCACGTTTTCTGTGAAAAAAGCTCAAAAAACTTGAAGGACCCGTTTTTATTTTGAAAACCACTAATTTTCGAAAAAAAGCGTAATATCGGGCTCCCACATGGTTCTGAGACCTTGAAAAAGTATTTTCTTGTTTTTTCATTGCTGAGAAAATTCTTTTTTCCTAAATCCGAGGCGAAAAAGTCTGTCTTCTGCTCGTAATTCTCAATTTTCTCAATCAGAGCGAAATTCAGCGTCAGCAAGTAACATTATATTTGTTCTAGAAGTTTTATAACTCATAAGATAGTAACTGCTTTTAGATTCATCTTTATTTAATAGAAATTAAAATTAAAAATTTTTTTTTAAGAATAAACCTTTTTATTCAAAGAATCTATATCTTTGTATACAGAATTTCTCTTACAAAGAATGTCTATTTCTTTCTTTCTCTCGCTCGTACTACAAAAAAAATGTATTTTACTCCCTATGTTTAGTTATTCAGTCATATTTGTTTTAACTTTATATCGTGTAAATCGTCTCTATTGTCTGGATAATGAAAATTACAATTTTCGAAACGTCGACTTTATTTTTATAAAAAGGTTTATTTTTAAAAAAAAGAAATAATTTTTAATTTTAATTTTTATTAAATAAAAGATGAATCTGGAAACAGATTCTGTTACTATCTTATCAACTCAGTAAGTAAGTCGCGATAAGATGAAGTACGAAGGCAACTACAGATGACCTTTTCTTACTACTCATATGAATTCCATCTGAAACACTTAAAATAAGAACAGTGTGCAACTTCTCTGATGAAAGTACATGAAACGACAAAATATCTGACTTTACGGAGAATTTGAAAAAGAAAAAAGTTTTGATCAGAAGTGTCAGCAAATATTTCTAAGAAACTTTTAAAATACTGACTACATCAGGCATAAAAAATGCTGACTTTATTTTATTGAAAATAAATTTTTCAACAGTTAGTCAAAAGAAAATTTTTGTTATTTATTATGTGAATGAATGAAAGAAGCATAAAATAGTCTTATATCATCATGGGATAGCATTGCACCTGTGCTAACTATGGTCAATACATGAGTATTTCAAGCAATTTTCTTTGAAACATTTTCACAGTTTTTTTCAAAGTAGACTATTTTGTACGAGTGAAGACGTGCATGTTGAGAAAAAATATCCAAAAAATTGCTTTTCAAAAAATGCATTACGAGCAGGAAATAATCTTCTATTACTGGTTTTTATTGTCAACATTCACATTGCAGTCGAATAGTGACGTAAACTGCTTGGGTTGCGATTTGAAGTTGATTGCTTCGTCTTTCATGCTATTTCGATCTTTGTGAAAAAACATTTGAAATCCCAGAAAGAACATGTGAGCTTTACACACTCGTCGCCCAGGCGGGAAAAAATCGTTCGGAACAGCGCGAAAAACGCATTTTTTCCGAACGCGTTAAAAACGATCGTTAAAAGAGCCGTTTCAACGCGTTTTTTGTCGTTCAGAAGTTTAGAATAATGCGTTTTTCGATAACGCGTTTGCTAACGATCGTTACATTAACCATTTTCTGGCGTTTTTGTTCAACGCGTTTTCTAACGATCTTAAAATGGCCGTTGAAGCGCGTTTATTTTACTTCCTTTATTATAGACTTTCAACTATTTTTAGATCAAATCCCACTAGACAGCCAAGTCTCACCTTTGGCTTTACTAAAATTTTCTGTTCTCACAGGTTTTTATTCCGCTTTTAACAGTTAAAAAACGCGTTAAATGTTTCATCTGAAACGGGTTCTAGAACGTTTGAAAATGCGTTTTTTGTACGATTTTAACGTAAAAGTAACGCGTTGCGAAATTCCGAAAAACGCCTTTTCAAACGAATAGAGAAAGAAGAACACGTTTAAACGACAAAAAAAAGCGTTGGTTTTGAAACATTTAACGCGGTTTTTGGTCGTTAAAAACGAAAAAAACAACGTGCTTTTTTCTGAATTTTTTTACCCCTGGGTGTACAACAGAGACCATAAGGGAGCATTTCAAAATGCAAGCCGGCCGCTCTGCCGTTCAGCCGCAGTGAAATTCTAATTTATTCTATTTTGTTTTCTTTCGGTTCCTTTGATTGTATTGTGGATACTTCTGTAAAGTAAAACACACGATACTATAGTTTCTTCCTTATATTAAGAAAAACATTCTATTCTAAAAAAGCCTAAATAGTATGATATAATAGAGATGTTCTCTTCTTGCTTTAAATATGTTATTG